TATGACTCACTTTATTCTTATGATATCTAACTCCTCTGCTTCTACTGTAGAGTCCATTCCTATTGTTAACACCTTTACAGCTGGCTCAACAAGCTCCTCTACCACCCCTGCTCTTGCTCAGGCGTTCCTGGCTACTCCTGAGTCAGTCATTGATAATGAGTGGTACTTTGATACTGGTGCAACTCAACATATAACTCATGATGCTTCCAATCTTAATACCTTGGCTCCAGGATCTACCCATGGTAATGTTCAAGTTGGCATAGGGGATGCTGTTGCTATAACTCATATAGGTAAGGCATCTCTTTCCTCTCCGACTACTGATTTTCACCTTAAGTATGTTTTATGTGTTCCTCGTATGATAAAAAATTTGGTTTCTATTGCTCAATTTACTAAGGACAATATGGTGTCAGTTGAATTCTTTCCTCAAGGAAGTGCTGTTAAGGATTTACAGACCCATCATATCCTTATGCATGGGCCTGAGAAGCTTGGTCTCTATTCTACTAGTTCCAGCTCAGTTAATTCTGGTTCTGTTTCTCATCCAGCTGTTTTTGCAACTGTTGCTGATATGTCATTGACATTGTGGCATTACCAATTAAGGCACCCCTCTATTGATACTGTCAAGGCTGTTCTTAAAAATAATGCTATTCCATTTCATTCAGAATCTTTTTTTCCTTTATGTAATGCTTGTCAACTTGGTAAATGTCACAAGTTTTCTCTTCTTCAACTACTGTGTATGAGCATCCTTTACAGTTAGTCACAATGGATGTTTGGGGACCTGCTCTACTTGTTTCTTATGGCTTTGCTTACTACCTTGCCCTTATTGTCGCTTTACTTGGATTTTTCTATTGAAACATAAATCTAAAGCTTTGTCAAAGTTTAAAGAATTCAAGTTACAAGTTGAAAACAAGTTCAATCTTAAAATCCAGCAAGTACAAAGTGATAATAGGGGAGAATTTTGAGTGTTCAGTAGTTTTCTTAAAGAATGTGGCATTGAGCAGCGTTTTTCGTGTCCTTACATGTCTGAACAAAATGGGATTGTTGAGCGACATCATAGACTTATTGTTGAAACTGGCTTAACTTTATTTGCCTATGCTTTACTGTCCTTGTGCTATTGGCCTGATGCCTTTCTGACAACAACTTTTTTATTTAATCAACAAGCATCAAAAGCTGTTAATAGTCTTACTCCATATGAGAAACTTTATGGCGTTTAACTATACTATTTACTACTTAAGGTGTTTGGTTGTGAGTGTTTCCCTTATATTCACCCATATAATTCTCACAAGCTCAATTTTAGGTCAGCTTCGTGTGTTTTTTTGGGTTGCAGCTCTCAACATCGTGGTTATAAGTGCCTTGATCCATGAACAGGCAAGATACATATTACTCAACATGTGTGGATCAATGAAGATATGTTTTTTAAGGATTTGCAATACAGTGTTAAGAAATAAACTCAAGCTATTGCTGTTACACCTTCCTATTCCTTTACACCACCTGCATCACCTAATCCACTTCCTATTATAAATCCTACTACCTCTTCACTCACTCTTATACCTTCTGATTCTGCCACACCCTTTGTTATACCTCCTTCTATCCCTTCACCCACTCATGTATCCCTTGATCCTGCCATGCTTTTGACATACTCCCCTTCACACTCATCTATTAGATCCACTTCATCTATTTCTCCCTTTACTGTTCTAACTTCACCGCCACCTATCAATACCCATCCCATGATCACACGTGCCAAGTTAGGCATTTTCAAGCCTAAGGTCTTTCTAACACTTGAACCCATCACTTGTCCTCGCAACATTCATGAAGCTTTCTCTGATCCTTAATGGAAAAAATCTGTGCATGAGAAATATAATGCTCTCCTTAAGTTTCACACATGGGATATGGTTCTACTTCCTTCTCATCGCCAACCTATTAGTTGTAAGTGGTTACATAAAGTTAAAACAAATGTTGATGGCTCAGTTGCTCGTTACAAGAGTTTTTTAGTTGCTAAAAGGTATTCTCAAGTTGCTAGTGCTGATTACAATGAGACATTCAGTCTTGTAGTTAAGGCTGCCACTATTAGGATTCTTCTCACCATTGCTGTCACAAAGAAATATAAAATAAGTCAAGTAGATTTCAATAATGCATTTCTTAATGGTGATCTTATTGAAGAAATTTATATGGATCCCCCACCTGACTTTGAACATCAATTTGTTGATAATACCACTGGTCAATCATTGGTGTGTAAACTTAAGAAGTCCTTATATGGCCTTAAACAGGCTCCTAGAGCTTGGTTTCACAAGTTGCAAGGGTTTCTATATTCTCTTTCTTATAATCCCTCTAAAGCTGACCCATGTATGTTTGTGCAATCTAATACTTACGGTCTTATTTACATTTTAGTACTCCAAGTCTAGTTTTCTGACACTATTCAAAAATATAAAGCATTTTTAATAAAATCTCATCCTTCAATAAAGTTATTATCTATTTTTAAATTAATTTTATCTTTTTATATTTACTCCTATTAAATACTCTATAATAAATATAAAATTATTATTAATAGGGGCACTTTTGAAAAAAAAGACAATGATTACATCTTGAAAGACTAAAAATACTTTATATCTTTTAACATTCAACTCTTTAAAAAAATACTTTATATTTTTAAACAGAAGGAGTATATATATACCAAATCAAGGAATGGATAGGAAAACACATATCCATGTGTGTAAAAAAAGTTGAGAATTTAAAAAAGTTAAATTTATTTTTTAATATCATAAAAAATGTTATTAAAGTTTGATATATAATCTCAACATGGAAACACTTTTATTGGGAAATAAATAGTTTTTATTTATTCAAAAATTGAAATTCCTGGACTCTTCCTTGGAAGAGATTGGTTTGTTTCTTTTAATGTTATATATAAGGAAGTAAATGTTTGTGCTCACTTAGTAGTGCAATTATCTTATAGAACTAGTGGTGATTTTTTCACCAACAATCACCCAGCACTTCTTTGTCAAGAGGTGGCAAATGATAATAAAAAAGTTTCTATTTGCACCACGCTTGTTTGCATTGTCTTCTATTATTTAGTTAGTTAATATAATTTCCATATTTATCAGAATCTTTAGTATTCTCCCAAAATTAAGTTTAAATAGTGACAGACTAAGTCCTTATTTGTCATTAATTGTTGAGTCAAATCATCAAACGTCATTCTTCCCTTATAGTATTTTTAAAGAGAGAGAGAGTGTGACAGTCAACTCTCAAAATATTTAATTAAGGATAATTAATTTTTAATAAAAAATTTAAAAAATTAGCTGAAAATGTCAATTCAAACAATTAAAAACATGAGAGTTTCAATTAAAGATAAGATATTTAAGCTTCAGATGCAATTTTTAGATTATAACTAAAATTTCTATTATATCTATTCTTTAAAAAAAATTATCAAAAAACCTAATTGTCATTTGTCCTTGCAGAAATAAAGTTATTAATATTAATTTTTTTATTTAGTATGTACTACTATTCAACTTCACTTTATAAAATAATTAACCCTTCGTTTAATATGAAGAAAAGTTCAAAGTAAAGAAAATTGAGAGAAAATAAAATTTTAAAAAAAATATTATCACTCTTTATATATGTTGAATAGACAAAAGAAAAAAAGGAAATATCATAATAATCATAATAACTTAAGTTAGATTATAATACCTTTGTTTTTATCTTTATGAAAATAATTTGAAAGAAAAAATATAATAAAATTAATATTATCAAAATAATTTAAAATCAAATCATTGAACATATTTTCACGCTATTATTTTTTTTAAAATTTTATTTTTCTATTAAAAAAAATTAAAAGTGCATAATTTCATGTTATTTTTTCTATCAAAAAATTTAAAAGTTATTTTTTATTTTTTAAGCTTCTATTTAAAAATTTAAAAATTTTTATTTTTATTTACCATTTTTAGAGAAATAATGTTTTGAGTTTTTAAAGTTTTATTTGATTTTGCATTTTATTTTTTGAAGTCTAACGTGATTGTTACATTATTTATGGTTTTTTTATTCCTGGGTTCAAATACATTCCGATGCATCTTTTTTCAAGCACGGATGCAATTAATAAGAGGAGAAAGCGACCAAGAAAGAGACCAAGCGAAGATGATGGTAAAAGCCAGAGAGCAAAAGTAATGGAGGGCAGTGCTAGGAAGCTTTACTCTCAAAATCTCTCCACATATGTGAAGCTAAAATTTGAGGAGAAAATGTGATTGATTTCACTCATTCCTTTTTTTTTTTTGTCATCTCACTTTTCTTTCCTCGGTCAAATGTATGAAAAAAAAAAAATTCCCATTTTTTCCTCTAACTTTCTTTCCTCACATATTTTCTCTCTATAAAAACATTGGATAAAAGAAAAGTCAAATGTCTATACTTTGGCCAAAAATGAAAACTATGTCCATACGTCATTTTATTTCAATGCAAAGGTCGAAATCATTAAATGTTTCTCTCACTGCTGTCTCCCAAGTTGAGATACCTAATCAAGGAACAGATAGTTATAGCTTGGAAAAGTTAAATTACCTTTTTTAAAAAAATATATAATAAAACAAATTATTGGCAATATTTTTTAAACTTCATAATCCCAATGTAAAACACTCTTCTAACTTATGTGGGAAGCATAATGACAACTGAATACCTGATTAAAAACATAATTAATGCCACAATGAGAACTTTTTAATCGTAAAAAGTTGTGAAGATCGTTAGTTTCGATAGTAAATAGTAGTCATAAGAAAACACTCGGAGGACCCTAGTCCGTTTTTCTCAACATTAATTCACGGTCCTTAGCTTCTTCAAGGCAATTTGTAGGGTAGGTCCCATCCCATCAAATACACAATGCATTGTCTTATCCTTTTTAATTTTCTCATACGTGACTACGTTCATTGCTCCCAAGTACACCTCCTCTGCTATCCTCCAAGGACCAACTTGAGCCTTTCTTTATCGTTATGTGACTTCCAATTTGTACATTATCTCTCTGAGTTCAAACCGTGTGAGAGTCCACAATCTCATCTCTCTCCGTAATGCCCACTTGCTGAATCACTATGCTATTCATAGCCATAAATTCTAGTGAGTCCCACCCTACTGATCCTACCAGATATATACACGCTCTGAACTCTATCCGCAGCTCAAATCCTCACTCGTTTTCTTACTTACAGTTGACGAAATGGAAAAGCCAGGTGAAGCTTTGGATCTGGAGTGGATTCGCCAACATCTTCTTGGTGAGTTTTCGTCCTCACAATCCTTCTTATCCAATCTGTATCCTGTAAAACTCGAGGATTATTCTTCATCGGAGGCTGATCTGAATCCGTGTGTTCCGGTGCAAAGTTTCTGTTCTTCTGTTGAAACTTTCGGTTTTGAAGATGTGGAGGTTTTAAACTCCGTCTCGGAGGTCGTGATGGAGAAGAAGCCCACATCGCCTGAGACCGAGAAGCCTGAGTGCGATGAGACGATTATGAGGCGGTACAGGGGTGTTCGGAGGAGGCCGTGGGGCAAGTTCGCTGCCGAGATCCGTGACCCGACCCGGAAAGGGACACGTGTTTGGCTGGGCACGTTTGATAGTGAGATTGACGCTGCAAAGGCTTATGACTGTGCTGCGTTCAGAATGAGGGGTCGAAGGGCAATATTGAACTTTCCTCTGGAAGCCGGAGGATCCGATCCGATGCCGAACCGGTGTGGCCGGAAAAGGAGAAGACAAAGTTCACAGGAGGAACTGTCCCAAATTTCCACTGAGATTTAAATAATTAAATTGGAGTCCCTTTTAATAAGCATCAATCCCTTACACAAAAATTAAAATAAACTATGTTATTTATGAAAATTAGTACGAGTTGTAAATTATATGTTTATTTATTGAATACCAAGAACTCGTTTCATTGTTGTCGGTCCTTGTAGTCTTTGGCTATGTAGACTTCTATGCCCTGATGTACATGAGTTGAGAATTTTTTCCTTCTTTTTCTTTTTTAAGTGAAGCTGAGACTTTTTTTTTTATTCCACAAAATATAATGCATGTATTTGGGTTCCTTTTGTTTTTGTTTTGCAAGAATATGTGTTTGACTGTTTGTGTTCCTTGGATCAAATAGCAGCAATGAGAATGTTTGTTGTTTCTAATTAACAATGCTTTGCTAAATTTTACTCCATCTAATTTATAATATAAAGCATATCTTAGAAGTTATATTTGTTTTAAAGTATATGATATTGAATTTTTTTTCTAACTATACCTTTAATTTACTTCATTAATTATTCCTTAACTAAAAAATGGTTAATTAAAATTTTAATTATCATTATTAAAATATTTATATAGGACTTTTGATAACTATATAATTAAAAATATATAATTAAAAAAATTAATGTTTCAGCTAATTGTGTGCGTGTGCGCGTGTTGTGGACAGGAGAAAATAGGTGGAATTTAAAAAATATGCGAGTGAACAAATGGTTTGTGTTGGATCATATATTGATCTTATGAAGGCGTAATACGAACCACAACCTAAGTTACAGAACAAAAAATTAATCACGAGAGCCAAAATGTTGTTTTCTAAAAGTTTATTCAAATATCAATATTTTGATTACATCAATTACTTAGTCACACGATGAAACATCCAATAATGATTAGGTCGGTTATGACCCCAAAAAATTAATTATGAAAGCTTAAAAATGTGATTTTTTTTTTTTCATAAGCAGCTCCAACATGCTTATACGTTTTGGTTAAGTGAATTAATTCTGTCCAAAATCATGCTTATGTAATAATTTCGTTTAAACTCTTTTAACCAAGACTAAAAATTGATATCAAAGTCCAAGATTAACCATGCTTGGCAGCTACATGCCCATCTCTGTGGTTTATTTCAAACGCATGATGGAGCTTTGATTTGACGTCAATAGAAAGTTGAAAATTGAACTGAAACAACTGCAAAGATTGACCAAATTAAAGTCTGCAATTTGAGCCAAATTCACAGGCCAATCTAAATTTGCACAAAAAAATTAGGATTAAATTTGACTCTATAAATTTTTTTAAAGAGGATAAAACATTTTAAATTAAATTTGAATAAGTTTGATCCATATTGAGAGTGATTTGAATAAACTCAACCGCTAAAATTTTTAATTTTATAGAGTTAATAATTTTGACCAAACTTAATATGTCAATTCAAAACCCGTTCAAAAAAAATTAAAAATAAGTTTAACTATATGAGCTTTTTATAAAAAAAAATAATATTTTAAGTTCAATTTAAATAAATACGACCCGAATTAAATATCATTCAAATAAACCCACTCTGTCCAAAATACTGCTCTTGCCAAAATTGATGGGCGTAGATATTTTTCTTTGTAATGACTCATGGGGAGAATTATTCTAGATGCCCACATAAAAATTGTAAATATTTTAAATTTCATGGAATGGTCAAAAAACTATTTGTGTTGAGAGATCTCGATAGTGTTTGACCATTTCATGAAACTAAAGAGAAGTTACAATTTTTTTGAGACTCTACAATTATTCTCTCATAAATCATTCCATATTTAATATTATTAACTAAATTGAAACATGAAAAAAACAAAAGCCTCATTTGAAACTCCGGTTTGCATCGGCTTGAGATTGAAAAGGATCTATTAACATGGCCTTTTAATATTTTATTTAGAAAGGCTGAACTTGATGCCTTATATAATGATTTTGAATCTGATCTTATCACCCAATTCATTTACAATGATTTGAGAATTATGTAAATAGTAAATAAAGGATAAGTAAAAAATTATACCAAAGTCAAACTAAATTATTTTATATTTAAAAATTTTGTGTGCCAAATAAAATCGCTACAACTCTTTCATTCATTTCATTGTGTCATTACTCATTATATATCTTCTTCTTCATATAATTTTTTAAATATTAAAAAATGAAATCAAATTAATTAAATCCTGTTGTACAATATATCATAATGTACAAGTGGATACCAGAGAAAATACCATAGAAAATGACAGCTATTATTATTATTATTATTATTATTATTATTATTATTATTTTGGACAAAGACAGCTATAGCCTGTAAACTAACGTGTGCTTGTGGGTTGGCATACTTGGAGATCCTGTCCCTGTAGTATTTACTATCTAGGGAGAATTGCGCCTGAAGATTTCAAATTAAAAACAAAAAAAACAAAATACTCTATAAACCCAATTCAATTTGATAATGCTTTCATCCGCAATTAATTTTCAAGCAAAATAACTAAACTACCCTTTTAAAAAATACTAAACTAAAATACCAAAATAAATTTTTAACAATAAAAAATCTGTAAATAACAAGCAAAATTCAATTACTTATACTAAAATATCATTTATTTACAACAAGCTATATGTGATTTACATTTGTATTTGAAAAATATAAGAAAAAATTTACAAGTTAACCAAAACAACTTAACAACAAAAAGTTCATAAATAATAAACAAAGTCCAATCACTTACAATGAAATTTTCATTTATTCATAAGAGTCCATTTGTGATATATATTTGTACTTGAAGAATACAAGATAAAATTTACAATTAAACCAAAACAAATTAACAATCAAAGGTATGTAAATAATAAGTAAAGTCTAGTTGTTTACGGTGGAATGCTTGTTTTTTTACAAGAATCTATTCGTGGTTTATACTTGTGTTAGAAAAATATGAGAAGACAAAATTTAGAAATTAACCAAAATAAAATAATAACAAAAGGTTCGTAGAATAAAAGGCAAAGTTCAATTGCTTACAATGAAATATTTGTTTCTTCACAATAGTCCACTTGTAGTTAAAGAATATAAGAGGAGAAAATTTACAAATTATCCAAAACAAAATAACAATATAAAAGATGTTGGAATATTTAAATATTATTTATAGATTTGTATTAATTAATATGCACAGGACAAATAGAACAAATTGATCTTTATGATATTATATGAATCATAATAGATGAATCACACAAGTAAATCCAATAGATAGAGGTCTAGCCTATAACTTTGTAACAAAAGGTTAATCTATATCTCTTAACTAACCATTTAAAGATAATGAGAGATTAATTAATTAATTAATAATTATTAATGTGATTCATATAATGTTATCAGTCGTTAACCTATACACACAACTCTCTTTTCATTCTCTCCATTATCTTTACACTCTCTGAAAATTATGGGGGCTTAGTAGGTTATGAGTTGGCTTACACTCAAGAAAATTAAGAAGTCATAAGCCATTTATTCTTCATGTACGCATATTAACTTATCATTTTATTTAAATTATATATATATATATATGCATGTATATATTGAGATATTAATTTTAAAAAAGATCCATAGATTTTTAGCGTGGTAATTCTTTCCCAGTCATCAAGAATAGTTCAATCATTTCAGCTTGGATATTAAATTGCATGTGAGCCCTTCAGGCGTGCAGATTAATTTTTCTTCAACGGGAGTCTCAGACAAATTCTCCCAATATTTAGCAATATCCTAACAAGTTGTGTTGTCCTTACTTAAAAAGAAGTGGCTTATAAAATTTAGGCTTAATAAGCTCTATTCTAAGTTTCCAACCCTAAACTAAATACTTCATCCTGTCTCATATAAAGTTGTATTTTTTATTTTAAATACAAGACATGTTATTAATTTTTTTATCATAAGTTTTTGAAAATTCTCTCGAACTTCTCATTCATTTCTTCATAAATAAGAGTAAAATTAAAAATATATTAAACTTTTAGATAAAATTAGTTTAAGGTTTCTTTGATTCTAGTATTACGTTCATATATATATATATGGACATTATTAATAAGTTATAAAAAATTGACTTCTTTCTATATCATAATTTTTTTAAATTATTTGACATATTTATTGGAATCGTGCAGCTTTACTTTCTTTTAATATTTCTGATTTTAGTGAGATTTTAATGTTAAACTTAAAAGGATTACAACTATAGCATTAAAAAAAAAAATTATTGTTGGACGTGTTTTGGGGGGAGGGGGGGGGGAGGTAAATATTAATGAATGGTTGTGAATAAATAGTGAAAGGTGAAAGGTGATATGGTACATAAAAAAGGGACAAACTTGTGGCAAGTTGGGAATTGGGGAAGAGGGACCTTATATTTCCTCTCCTATAAATTTATGAGCTATTTGAAGCATGAGCTTTGTGGTCCTTTTCATAAAATATCATATTTGAATATGCATTGTAATCTTTTTCTTTTATTTTTATTTAATGTTAATGTAGAAAAGCATGAAACTCTTTTTAATATGGGCAAGCTAGATTTTTTTTTATTTTAAAAAAGAGTTAAATTTTTTTATGATTTTTCTTATAGTTTCGGTAAAAATTATTATAAGAGAATTATAAATAAAATATATTCATTCTAATCCTATAGAGTATATTAGTTACATTTTAGAACAAATTATTAGTATAATATATTAGTTTCTTTGCATGAAAATACGGAGCAATGATCAGCTCCCCCCCCCCCCCAAAATACCCATTGAATTCAATTCATGCTTTTAATTAAATCAAGGTAAATCTAGAAAATTCTTTTATTTTTAACCATTTTATTAACTCACTCTCTCCGATGTTATATATAAGTTTTATTTTATCAAGAATTTGTATTTTTTATAAGTTATTTTTATAAAAAGAAGAATAATTAATTACTTTCTACCAATTTTAATCTTTTACAATTAGTAAAAAGTGAAGAGTTACATGAGAAAGAAAGTTATTTTTAGAAATAATGCATTTAACGTCAACAATTTTTTTAAAAATATTTTAATTTATATATAATATCAAAAGGAATAACTATCTTTCTTTAATTCTAATACCAAGAAATAAAATAATTAGAAGCGTCTCATATTTGTCATACTAGTGAGTCCATAACAAGTAGGCACGCATAATGACAATACAATGACATCCAATTATTGAAGTGGCCTACAGTGAACTCAAGTAGCATAGATGCAAGTTGCTCGCTCTCATTATCAGCCAGTCAACCTTCATTCGCGGCCCCACTCACTAGTTTTGGAGCTTGTTTGACAAAATAATTTTTTTTTTATTAAAAAATAAAAAAATTTATTTAGTAACACATTTTAAAGAAGTATTTTTGAAAATAAAAATTAAATATTATTTTGAAGAATAAAAAAATTAGGTATTATTCTAAGATTATTATTTTGAACAATAAAAAAGAATGCAAAAAATACTTCATCTATTTCAAATTATAAGACACTTTTAAATAAAATATTATATACCAATAAATCTCATCAAATACACTTAACAACTTTATTTTTTTAAAACAAAATTATAAATTTCTAAAAATATCCTTTATTTAATAATCTTAAATCTACACTTAATTAGTGTTAAATAGAGAGAGAGAAAAGGTAATATTAAAATAAGCTTATTTAATGAAACTTTAATTTTCTCAAAATGTCTTATATATTAAGATGATAAATTTTTTTTAAAAATATTTTATAATTTAAAATAAATTAAGTACTTTATACAAGCACCTGTTGTGGCGATGCTTGTGTAAATTCTCACTCTTGACATCACGTCCTTACATGGAACTTTCATCCAGCAAAATGCCTACCTGAAAAAACCTATACATTAAAAACTAGTTTATTTTAACTTATTTCATAAAAAATTATTTATTTTTTAAAAAATTTATTTTTAATTAGTTTTTAATATATTCATTTAAACTTGTAAAAATAATAAGAATTCAAAAAAGTAGATTTCTAAATATTTTAAGAAGAGTAAATTGGCTCAATGATCATGAAAAATATAGATTCAATAAATTATGGATGATATTTTTAAATATTTTAAAATATAATCTATTCACAAAATTAATTAGAAGTGATTTTTTCTTTTTATTCATAAAACAAATATATTATTAAAACACTTTGTATAAATTGGTCCATGAATATATCTCCTGTAACTAACTAAATGATTTTAAAATTTAATTAATTAAATCAAATTCTTATATACACGTCCATTATATTTATCTCTTTTTCACAATAATCCCTTCTGTTTCTTTTTGGGCAGAGGAATCAAGGCAATATTTACATATTACTTTCTTGTTGTCCTAATAAGTGTATTTTTTTGCAAAAGACCTTCTGACATGAGTAGTTTACTTTTGTGTCACTCCAAATGAGTCTCATTGCTACACTTACTTGTGTGAAGATGAATGTTGTAGAGGGATATTTGATTCCCTATTTCTAGAATTTGTTATGGACTGTGTTTAATCTATTTTGAATAAATGATTATACTTTTTTTTTTGTTTTTGATCCATGATAGAATATCAGTGATATACAATAAATCATATCAATAAAAATTTATTAACATCATTTAATATTATAAATATGAGAATGCTTAATCTCATCATTTCTTATGATGAAAAATGTGATTTATTAATTTAGATATTTAATTTTTTATAATAAGCTAAGATGTATAGAACTTTTTATGGACTGTGTTTGATTTTTAGACAAATTATTTTTTTCATGTTTTTGATTTACAATAGTATATCAGTAACATAAAATTATATATCATTAAAAAACCATATCAGTGAAAATTCATTAATACTATTTAATTTTGTAAATATGTGGATACTTAATCTTATCATTTTTTTTTTGAAAGAAGGTCAGATGAAGTTGTCTTTCATCTTCAAATATTTGAGAGTAGGCCATATTATTTGTAAAGAGAGTAGTTTTTTCACATAAAGCTCAACTAAATATTAAAATGACCATAATGCAACACACAACAAATGTTATGTTATTTATTAGGTTTGATTCTATAAAATGGGTTATATATACAAAAGCTTCTTTTAAGAAATTATCTTAAGTAGCTTTTGAAAATAATTTAATACTATAGATAAGAGAAAGTATTTTAAAGAAATAGGAACGCAAAGGCATTATAAAAATTTTAAGTAATATAATAATAAATTATTTTTATAGAACAAAAATCAAGGAAGATGTCATAAAATTAAAAAATAAATAATTAATAATTATTTTTTATTATTATAACCAAACATAAAATGATATTGTGTTTTATAAAATCCATACGAAATAAGCCTCTTATAAAATTTTTAAACTACCCAAAAATAATTTATTTTTTAATTTTAAACAAATGGGTCCTAAGCTTGTCTGCGTAGCTCTCAAAGTTAAGGTACTCACCTCTTCCTTTTTATTTATTGCAAATTATTTTTGTATATATCTTATTTAGCATTTTTATATTTTAATTTTTGTTCATAAATTTTTTTGTCTAGTTTTAATTTTTCGTTTTGTTTATAAACGTTTTTTAGTATATCTTATTTTACTTTTATTTATGTTTATAATTTTTTGTAAAAAATATTTGCAGGTTGCTAAATTTTCTACAAGCAATATTTGCCAAGGAAGTTCTTGTGTTCAGGTCAGTAAAGTTTTTATTTTAATTTTTTTATATGTAGTTAATTGTTTTATTATAATTCTAAAATTTTAAATTATGGGTGTGTTTAAAATTAACCAATGAATGTAATGTAATGGGATGCTATGCAATCTCAATATCATTAGATGGTAACGGAGTGCAATGAAAAATTCATAGGAGGGAGATATGAATGAGTATTACCATAATTTTTGGTAATGACATATAATATAAGTCATTATCATGAGTCCATCTAAAAAGCTAATCACTCTTCTAATCATAGTTGTTAAACTTTTAAATTAACTCTATGAGTTTAATATTTTTACGTTTTCATCTTACAAAATTGTATTAACTTACTCATAAATTCGAATTAGATATAAATTCGGTTAAACTCACAAGTTTACATACGAGTTTACCATTTTTACGTTTCTAACTTACAAAATCGTGTCAACTAATTTATTAACTCGAATTAGATGTAAGCTTGGTTAAACTTATTAAACTTGTTAATTTTTTTTTTGAGTTGAGTGAGTTAAGTATACATTATGAAAAATTCAGTTTATAAAAGTTATAAGGCATGGTTCAAAGGGAAAAAAAACTTGAAATGTAAAAACTAATATTAATAAAAAAAAGCAAAAATATAAAAAATAAGTTCCCCTATTTTAAAATTTTTATGTCTTGTATATGATAATTTATTAGTGTATATGAATTTAATTTCAATAATTTATATTTTTAATATATTAAATTACATTACAATTATATTTTAATATATATTTGTTAATAGAGGTAAATTCTTATGAGTTTATGATCTGATTTTGTAATATGAGTTTACATTCTTATCACGAGTTCAACAACCTTGCTCCTAATGGCAATGCAATACTGATTACCATTGCACGTGTGCAATGTCATTGAACCAAACAAGGGACCGTGAATGTCATTTATTTTTATTAGATGATATTAATTGTTTGAATTTTATGTGATTTAATTTTATATTTATAGAGATGTAAAATTAAATCAGGTTTATATTTGTAAATTTATGGAGATGTAATAATTTTAGTGGAAATTCCAGTGTTTGTAAGAAACGCTGCGAAAGTAGTCATGGCAAATTATCTAGAGTGATATTCATTTAATTTGAAAAATGGATCCCTCCCTCACCAATATCGGGCGTAGTCTCTCAAACCTTTACTTGGATTAAAAGTCAAACCGAATTTTTGGTTGCTAATCTACTTCATATACCGAACTCATAAATTTCAAAAAGATAAATATAATTTTTTATCCTTATATTTTATTCGTGTTTTATTTTTAGTTCCTATATTTTTTTAATGTTTTAGATCTTTATACTTTTATGTTTTATTATTTTCAGTCCCCATATGAGCAAAGTATAGGAATATTAGAAGGATCTAAAATAATTAAAAATAAAAGTGTAAGGATTTAAAATGTTAAAAAATGAATATAAAGATTAAGAGTAAAACACGAGTAAAGTACAGCGATCAAAAGTTATGTTTACTCATTTCAAAATATATTAGAATTCAATTTAAGCAAATTAGAGCAATAAGTTGATGATCGAAAGACACGGAGACATACTCCATCTTCTGTAAATGATAAAAAATGGAGAATTGATCTGATGAAAACATTCCTAATCCTGCACATAAAAATTATTCAAAACAAAGGAAAATGATTATTATTTGATAAATATACTCGACTTATTGTTTTTTTAACTGCGATGGCGGCTTGTCAAAAGGTTGATTGTCATTGTAACAATCATCCCACAAAGCTTCCACAGCAAGTTTGGCAGATTCTTCAGAGCACTTGACCTGTTCTCTACCCAATTGTTCCACAACTTTTCGTTTCACACATTCTTTATCATCTTTGCCACAGCCACCACATAAGCGAGTCACTCGTATTCTGGTACACACATGGCTTACAACATCACTCTGAAACGTCGTAGACCTGCCGCGACACTCGTCGAACGCCACAATCAGCCCCTGCATCAACAATTCATCGATCTCACATTGTTTCGGTGTTAGGTTGTTGATGCACACTGTTATCCCTTCAATGAGCTTGTAATAACCTGCCTTGTTCGCATTGCAATTTACAACAGCTTTGAAGAAATCGCGCCTCACAGGACAACCAGCTTTCTACAACGCTTCCTTCAAAAAGTTTACCGCCGAAATTTGGAGGCCTCTTTCAATCATGGATAATTTCGACAGCGATGAAGGATCCCACTCTTCCATTAACTGTGAATTGCAAAGATTTAGCACAACATTTGCAGCAACAGCGGGAACAATATCCAATAAAAGCCTGAGAAATCAAAAAGCATTCAAGAAAAGGAATGAAATCCCTAGAGACCTCGCGATTGAATGCTCGATAGACGAAATTCCTTTCACTTGATCCGTTTTCCTTCCTCCTATATCCGATCCTCTTCTTCATTCTCTGTCTAGATCTTGCTCTGTTTCGTGCAATCTCTCTTTTCGATTTCTCTCCCGCAATTATCCGTTTCTTCCTCCTCGGTCCTCACTGGATTGGGAGATCGGAGCGACTGTTTCTCTTGACAATTGCTTTCTACATTGGGATCCATTATCTTTGATCAAATAATGCAATCTCAGGCCAATACTTTTGAGAGAGAGAAAATTAAGCTGTTGGTTTCCGTTATCTGACTTTGCCTTCGATTTAATTTTTATGTTAAGATTATTGTGTAGTTAATTTCCACTTTTTGCCTTCGGATACATAATTCATCGGCCCTAACTAATAATATATAATTAAATATAATATATTTTGAACATAAAATGTGCTTTTATAATTTTAAAAGTAGAAATAAATGTACCTTCGTATGTAATCCTTGTATCTAATCAAACTAAATATACAACAATAGTGTGACAACTAGGAGGGATGTGGTTGAGAGTAGAGGTGTAAATAATAAACATTGTTTTGGCTTTTGTTTTGAGTTTGATTTATTTGATTCCTATTGAATCTATATTGTAATTAATAAACATTAATTGTTTTAAGTCTTATAAAACACTGCTCTTACTAATGGAATCTTTTAGCTAAATGTTAGGTTTTGTTTAATTGTGTTTTATGTTTTCATGTTCTTGAAATAGTTTTTGTGAAATAATTTTTTAAAATATGTCTTGGAAATGATAAATTTAAAAAATTGTTAAATAATTTGTTTCGAAAGTCAAATTTAAAAATAAAAGAAAAAATTTTGATTGAAAATAGGTGAGGCAGAGATGTCACGATTAGTGATCAAAAAATCAGATCGGACTAAACAATAAGACTAATTTGACCATCGATCAATCTGAATTTCAACTTGGTCAGCATGTAAAAACTATTCTAGGGGTTGAGTTGGGTTGGGTCGGGTCATTTAGATTAATAGTTGGATCGAGAACTAAGATAAAGCTGGGAACCAGACCCTGTTTTCAAAAATTGGATTGTTCAAAAAATTTCTTTTTTTTAATTTTTTTATCAATTTTTTTAGAAAATGATCAATTTTTTTAATCATTTGTGTTATATTGTATCATGTGACTTGTTAAGTCATAATAAACTTAAAATATTTAGTTTTATTTTTAAGTTAAATAAAAATTTCATATTTATTTTATATATTTAGATTATTATATATATACAATTTTTTTAATTTAATTATTACGTTGCTAGTTTGATCATTAGTTTAACTCGGTTGAACCATGCAAATTGTAAACTACTAACCTTCTCAGTTCAACATCCTATCCGGTTCTAAAACATTGGTCACAACTATGCTATGTTCTTCATTATTATGTCCATGTTGGTGTTGCCATTATTCTTCTTATGTAGAAGCTATAATTAAAATGGTTTGGCGGAGCTGAAATCAAGAGAAATTAGGGCGGATTTACTCAGTCGTGTTCATGCAAGATTGACAAGCTTTCATTGAGCATGTTTTTAAAGAAGCTAATCAATGTGCCCTTGCTATATGTCAAACAGATAATGTAGTTTCAATGTCAGAATTTTTAATATTGCACTCCCACAATCGGGGATGAATCCAAAAATTATCATGGGGCCATAACTGAAAATGTATTTAAAAATTGGGCCATTTCAACATATTTTACAAACAAAAAACATAGCAGTATTTTAAAGTATAAGGGTGTTGGTAATTAAAAAAAAAGTATGGGGGTGATGGCCCCTACATACCCCCTATAAATTCATCATTGTGCAAGATGTATGAATTTTTTTTTTATGATTAGATTCCTCATGATTTTGTAATTATATGGTGTTAACTATGACCTTGTCAATTCTAAAGAAAAAATATCGATAATCCTTCTAAGTATTTGAGGTTACCTACAATTCTTTTTTTTTTTTTTTTTCCGGGGGAGGGGGTGTGGGGGCAGAGTTAATTACTTTCTGACAGGTGAGAAGAAAAGTGTTTATTAAAGCTATCGCTAAGGCCATGTTCTCTATGACATGCTTTGAATTTTCTAAGAAGGCTTGAGAGAAGAGTTACCAATTAGGTAATACAGTGGCCAAATTCAAGTGGGGCCAACAGAGTGAAAAAAAGATAGGATACATAACAAAGCATGAACCATATATAATAACACCATCAGATATTGATGGCATCTGGGTTCTGAATTCAATCTGAAATAAACTTTCTGGTTCAGAGATGAAGGCAATTATGAAGATTCCTCTTCCATTACTTGCAAATAGAGAAAATACATTGATATGGTTAGGCGTAAAGAATAGAAAACTTGATGAATTTGGTTGAGACTGATACAAACATATATATTGTTGTCACATATGGAAAGAGCATTGTGATTTGTTGTCCTAAGTACATCAGTTAATCTTGGTATTATTTTTAACTTATTTAGAGAGGGTGGAATGAGACGTTGGAGATTTTTTGGATTGCTATGCAAATAACAAAACAGAATTATGTTGACGAAGGTCATGCTTGGAGAAGTTGTCAGTGGCAGCCACCTTTACAAAATCATTTGAACAGTAATGTTAGATTGGCAATTTACCTTTAGTTTGGATAGGGAGAAAATTAAAGAGAAAAGAATATAAGGAGGGAAATAATTTTTCCACTTAATATTCTCTTTTCTCTATTTTCCTCCAATTTTCCCCCCATCCAAACCAAATTTTAAGGAAAGAAAAAGGAATGAATTTTTCCTCCTAATATAATTTAATTAAAATATACAATAATATTCATATATAATTTTAAAAAAGAATTATTTCAATAAAAAATACTATTCCACAAAAAAAATAAAATATTTATGTATAAATCTTATATAATCTAGCAAAACAAAACTACTAAAACAAAAATGTGATATACTGATATTTTTTTCTTTTAACTCAAAACAATGCTATTTTAGGCTTAACAAATGAATTAAAAAAATGTAAAACCCAACTTGATAACACATCCAAATCTTTTGACCAAATCAACTGTAGATTAGTTCAGTGGTTCAATTATGTCACTGGCCAACCGGGATCGAGTACTAATACTATGCTACCATATGGTAATTTTTTTTATCAGAGTTGGCTTCCTCCGTTGAGTGAAGCCTCCCCTATCTCTCTATTAAAATAGAGATAATTTTAAATCATTCAAATTTAATTTAGGTAGTTTATATTTAATATTTTAATTTTTAATTTTTAAAATAAAAAATATAAAAAAATTAATAAATAAGCTCATTCTGATAGTTTAAATTTAATATAAATAGTTTAAATTTAATATTAAAATTTTTTTAATAAATTTATTGCTTTGTTCAAAATATACCTATACTGTCCAAATTACATCTAAAAAGTTAATTTAAATTTTTAATATTAAATTTAAACTATCTATATTAAATTTGAAATGTCATATTGGTAAGTATGTTTATTAAAATTTATTAAAATTTTTATATATTTTTTATTTTAAAAATATACATTAAAAATATTAAATTTGGATGGTTTAAATTTGCCTCTGCCTCGGTGGAGAGGTAGAGGAAGCTTCCCTCTGCGACTCCCTCGCACGCTCCCTTCTCCATTTCCATCCTTTTCTTCCCATTGCCATTAGATCTAAAATTTGATGGCTATGTTTTAATGTTTGATAAAATTATCACTTTAATTTTACATAAAAATATATAAATGAATTTTAACAATTAAAAATTGATCTAAATAAATTAAAATTATAATATTTTATTTAAATGTCCTATGTAAAATTATAATACTAATTTTATCAAATATTAAATCTTAACTGTTGAAAAATTTTAATCTAACAATGATAAAAGAAAAAGGAGGGAAATAGAGGGTATGGAAACTTACCTCTGACGTGAGAGAAGACGATTGAGAAGAAAAATAAATGGGAAAATCACATCGGACATGAGAAGACAATTATTGGAAGACATGAACCGATAGCAAATCTCATGCCACAAAAAAAAAAAAATAATAATAAGTCAATTTTTTATTTTAATAATAATTCATTTTACATTAGTTCTTATTTGTAAATAATTATCTTCCTAAGTTCTTAGATGTAATTCTCCCTAAATAAATCTCTGTTGGAGAATGGAGAGTCTCAAGAAGATGAAAATTAAAAGCATATGAAGTTACATTCATCCCTTAATTGGGGCAAAAAAAAGAAGAAGTTTGATACAACCAAACTCAAAATCTTTATAGATTAAATAATTTATAAAAAATACACATCTTGATTTAAGTATATAAACTTAAGTATTTCTCTTAAGGATATAAATTTTTCCCTTAAGAAAATATAAAAATCCAACTTGATTGACACATCCAAAACTTGGGACCAAATCAACTGTAGATTAGTTCAGTGGTTCCCTGTGTCATTGGCTAACCAAGGTTGAGTATTAATGTTATGCTACCGTATGGTAATTTTCTGTCATCCACGGCTCCATGAGACAAGAGAGGGGTGTCTCCTTTTCCCTTACTCTCCATTTCCCTCTTTTTCTCCTCATCATCATTAGATCAAAGTTTTAACGGTTATGATTTAATATTTGATAGTTATCATTTTAATTTTACATAAGTGATGCTTGGAGTTTCAGAACTCACTGAAGACTTAATAGCAATGGAGACATCCTTAGCTAGAAGAACAGATAAAGAAGGTGATGGTGAAGCTTCCCATCTAATTAGATGCATTGTAACATTAGGAACAAATTAACTCAAATTAGTCGAGTAAATGAGGGTAATTTAGTAAATATGGTTATAGAGATCAACAGATATTTTGAGTTATAATTTCAACTTTTGAATTGAGTCTGAAACGAAGTCGAGCCACCTAAACATTGAAAATGAAGAAAAATAAAGAAAAATGACTCTATGCTACATGCTGTGATGCACGAGCCACCAAAAAGCAAGGAAGGCTTATCTGTATTACATACCGCAGCGTGTGGTACATGCATCGCGATACATGACCATGATTATATAGAAATAGAGTTGGCTCAAACGTGAAAAACAAAAAGAAAACAAAAGAGTAAGCAAATAAAACGAGAAGAGCTCTACCAGAGCCTGAGATTTGGAAGCCTTAAGAGAGTTTTGAAGCTTCTAAATATTAGAGGTAAGTCTCCTAAGCATTTATTTCTCTTCTCCTTTCATTTTTCTTGAATATAGAAGTTAAAGTGTGTTAAAAAAAGATGATTTTCGTTCCATAAAAACTATAGGTCTAAATCCATTAACTTAAATATAGTTAATGGGTATTGTTTAAGTTATTTAGTCTTAGCATTCATGACATTGTGAGTTTTAGTAGTTGTGGGATAATAAATATATGAAATTCCACCATAAATGAGGTGACTAGGGTAATGATTTGCCATTAATGACTAGTTAATAATTCAATGAAGCTAATATGAGTTAGAGGAAGTTATTAAACTTTATGGGTACATTTATATATAAGGAGATTAAATTTTGGAGGTGTTGAAGTGTTAAATTGAATGCTGGAAATTAACCTAAGGGGTTTATTGACAAATTATTAGTGTAAATCAATGTAAAATAATTGCAACTTGGCACCATTCAAGCTTCGTGAAAGCTTTGAAAGTACGTAAGTGAGGGGTAAACCTTTGACCTATCAAAGATTTGAAGAAATTAGGAGAAAATCTTTCTTGTGCCTTTGTGTGTTAATGATTGATTTATTCATTTAAATGTTATAATTGAAGTGTGTGAAATTATTTAACATGTAAATGTGGCATAAAATATTTGAAAATGAAATATTATGTTTTTATGGAGTTTAATGACTTGATGGGTGTGAAGTTCAATGAAATAGTGTCTTCGGAGTTTAATGACATGGTTTATGTAGAGTTCTATGGATGTTTGTAAGTAGAATTCAATGATGTGATGTGTTGGCAAAGTTCAATCAAATGTGAATAATGTAGAGTTTAATGATTTTGTGAAATATGGAGTACCACAAATGTTTGTAAATATAGTTTAATGACATAATTGTTTTATGGAGTTCGATGACGTATATTATATGTTTATGTGATGAATATGTGTAATATGAGTACAATGAGAATGTTAAGTATGCTTGTGTAGTGATTAATTGCATGCTCAGAGAAATTATATTTTTATTTACTGTATGATCATAAGAGGTCAAAGTTTTCTTAGAGTTTGATGGTTTACCTGAATTTATTTATATTATTATCCTACTTATTCAATGAGAGACTATCTTATTGTGTAATAAAGGACTTGAACCTACTCTAGTTTTTACTTATTTGACAAGAAAGCTAGTTTAGGGAGAATAAAACTCTATAGAGTGAGATTTAGGGGGAAATCGTGACCCATTAGTGAAATAGGCAACCTTTGTCAAGTAACCCCTCACGCATGAATGACTAGGGTAGCCTCATTTCATAGATGATCCCAGTGTGAGTTAGCCCACAATTTTGTGTGAAGGCATAAAGAGGGTATGAAGAAGGTGTGATCATGCATATTATGATAAAAGGGCACATGATTATTTGTATTGTGACTTTAGTGATACAAATCATGTGACTTGCTTTATATAAATGTGAAATTGAGTTATCATACCATTATCTCATGAATATATGCTATTGTGGATGTGAAATGTGAATATGTGCTTTGAACATGCTAAAATAGTGTGAGTATGATAATTGATTGCCACTTATATTTAAATTGATTGATTTTACATTAATATGAGTTAGATAAACCTTAGTTATTGAGTAGTTGTATTCACCTCTTGCTCTTTAATATTATAAAAGCTAGCTCATTGAGACACAACCGTTCAAAACAATCTGAGGCCTAGTATTCTATCCTAAATAGTAAGCCTCATTTATTTTGATTACTATTATATGTATAATTCGTATGATATGACCAACTAGGAAAGTACATGTGATTAGTTAACTTGCACTATCTAATTATGAAATTTAATTGTATTTTAAGCCTTAAGATATATATGTATTAATTATGAACTCTATAAAAAAGTTAAAATACTAGTACAAGTAAAAGGTGAGGAAAATGTGATTATTTTGGAAGGATTATGTTGATTATGAAATTGAGGCTCTCCCTTCTATTTTGTGATTAAAGGGTTGAACATTAAAAATGTGTGTGGAGTATTAAATTTGTAATATGGTGTATTGCACAGGTCCATTATAGTCCATTGAGTGTAGTCTAAGGCGTAAATTAGGCTTCTGGTATTTGGATTGAATTTTGGGTACCCAAGTTGTTTTGAGTTTGTGCAAAGGGAGTGAATTGAGAAATGAGTGTCCAATTTTTGATTAAAAATAATTTAGCTGTGAAACCAGCGTCATTAGTTAAAGTTAGAAAATTTTTTTCTATAGACACCTAAATTACTTTAATCGAATGTTAGACGAAAATATGGAGAGCATAAAAAAACCACCCTGTTGCTATCAAATGATAACAACAATGTTGTCAGAATTTTGCAATGTGCCGTGGCATATGACACAGAGACAAATGTGTCATGCTGCATGCAACATGTTGCAGAGCCCATTTGCCTTTCTACACTGTTTTGCTGTTTTCAATTATTTTGCAAATGTTTTAATTTTTTTGGATTCTCATGTTTCTGCATACATTTTTAACTATAATTTTTGAATTGTAAAGACATATTGAGATGTTTTAAATTTTTAAAAACTTGAAATTTTCAATTTATAAAATTTACAAACTTTACAATCCTTTTTTAATTAATCTCTTAATTATCTCGATTGTTGAAATTAATAAAAAATTAATAAACGAGACATTACACACAACTTCTTAAGAACAGATGTTGCAATAACGTCAGCAATATAGTTACCATTGTGTGGGACAAAGACACAGAGATTCCTAGCTTCAGATGCCCATAGAGATAAAATATCTTTGATGATTCTACATCTTTAGTCCCCTAAATTACGATGCCCTTTCAAGATGCAAGACGTAAGAACTTGATAATCAGATTCAAGAATTACCTTATCATAGCTTAAATCTCACACTAGAAGAGAGCACGCTAAGAGCTAAAACTTCAGTCATAAGTGTAGATAATGACTTTACTTTATCAACATATAGCTAAGAGAAAAGACCAGAATTATCACCACATGACACGCCACACCAATTGTAGCCTTGTATAAATAAATTAAAATTATAATATTTTATTGAGATAATGAGACTTTTAGTTTTTTAAGTTAGTCTCAGCTATTAATTTAATCTTTTAAGTTTAATTTTTATCAATTTAATCCTTTATATTTTCTTAAATTATCATGTAAGTTCTTTATGTTTTAAAATACTAATTGGCTTTCAAAATAATCTAACGTGTAAAGAATATTGGTGATTTGGCATGTATGTATTACTAAATGAGAATAAATTAGCCCTCAAATAAATTTAATTTTTTATCAATATAATTCTTTATAATGTGTTTTGTTGACTTATTTTTAAAATTTCAAAGTTTATTTTTTTTCTTACCTTAACAATTATACTTTTTTTCATTAATCTATATGATTGTTATCAATATTTTATTATCTAAGTTAGCAAATTTTAATTGTGCAATCTCTTTTTTAAACAACAAAGATCAAACAGATAATTGAAATAAACTCAAGAGACTAACTTGATAGAAATTAAATTTAAAAGATTAAATTGATACTTGAAACAAACTTGAGGGACTAAAAGTTGTATTATCCTTATTTTATTTATATATCTTATATAAAAAGGAAGGTAATAATAAGATCTCTTTAAATTATATAAATGATAATTTAGTCCTTATAAATGCTACTGAAATCTCTGAGAACTTCTGTATCAATAAATTTTAAAGTAAAAAAAAATTATTTTACCCACATTGAAAATAACAAGTTTCAATTACAACTATTGCTTAAAAAATAATAAAATTTATTATGTAAATAACGAGAATTGAATAAGAAATTATAACTTATCACGTGTAATTTCTATCTTAAAATAATAAGTCTCAATTATAATTTTTGTTTAAGAAATAACAACTTTTATTTTATAACTTGTCAAGTATTTTATTATTAAAAAATAAGTTCTTAAAATAGGAAGTCCCTATTATAATTTTTATTTAAAGAATAAATTTTATTTAAAAAATTGTAAGAATTGAATAAGAATCAAAACTTATTAATAAAAATAAAATAATTTTTTAAATTTAAAACTTATTAACACAAAAATATTTAAAATTTTTATGAGAGTTATGATATTTTAAAATATTAAACTGTCATTTATATTATTTAAAAGATTTTATTATAATTTTTTTATATAAAATTGCTATAATTTATCAAATACTTTGAATCGTTGAAAAGTTTTTTAAGAAAATAAATAAATCTCTGCTTTAAATGGAGAGTTTTTTTTTTTTTTTTTTTTTGGGTTGTTGAGCAACTGGAAAAAGTTTTTCGAGAAGGTGAAAATTAAAAGCACCTCCAGTTACGTCCATCTCCATCCCATGGCTGGGGGGAAAAAGTTTGATGCAGTCAAACTCAAAACCGTGAAGAACCAGCAGTAGCAAACAGTCGTCATCAGAAGCAAAACCAATAGTTGAAGATTCAGATTCAAATTCAATGTTGGAAGCACACGAAACCAAGGAAAAAACCCAAAAAAAAAAAACAAAAAATCTCATGCCTCTGAACCAATCCTACGTTCAAGTCAAAGTCATGCTCTTGCCTTTCAATTCAATCCTCTTCTCCTCCTTCTACCACTACCCACCTTTAAATTTTTCAGGCTGAACAGCATCATATTCATTGTATCTCAAATCGGGTTGGATCCATCAGAAAATGGGGATCCGATCAATCCGAATCTTAACACTCTCCGTCGTCTTCCTCGCTGTCATCGCCGCCGCCGCCACTGCCATCTCTCCTGGTGATACTCTCTTAGCTTCCAACACAAATCAAAGATGGTCTTCTCCGAACAACACATTCTCCCTTCATTTCCTTCCTTCCAGCCCTCAAACTTCTCCTCCTACCTTCATCGCCGCCATCGTGTATTCCGGCGACACCCCCGTCATCTGGTCCGCTGGTGATGGCTTGGCCGTTGACTCCGGCGGCTCCTTCCGGTTCCTTTCCAACGGAACCCTTCGCCTCGTAAATGGGTCTGGATCAACCGTTTGGAGCTCCGAAACTTCAAATCTGGGTGTCTCCTCCGCTACCCTACAAGACGATGGCAATCTCGTGCTCTCAAACGGAACCGCCACCGTCTGGTCAACGTTCGACCATCCTACCGATACAATTGTTCCTTCTCAGAACTTCACTACCCGTATGGTTCTGCGATCTGGACCGTATTCGTTTCATCTTATTTCAAGTGGAAATTTGACCCTTAAATGGAACGATAGCATATTATACTGGAATCAGGGTTTGAATGCATCTGTGAATGCGGAGTTAAATTCGCCGGTTTTGAGGTTGCAATCAATAGGGCTTTTGCAACTGTATGATTCTAATCTGTCAACTCCAGTTGTTATTGCTTACAGTAGTGACTATGCTGAAGGTAGTGATGTGTTGAGAATTTTGAAGATAGATAGTGATGGGAACTTGAGGATTTACAGTTCTTCAAGAGGTAGTGGAACTGTAAATGCAAGATGGGCTGCTGTAGATCAATGTGAAGTTTATGCTTACTGTGGGAGCTATGGTATTTGCAGTTACAACGATTCAGACCCAATCTGTGGGTGCCCGTCTCAGAATTTTGAGATGATTGATCCGAGTAACAGCCGAAAAGGATGCAGAAGGAAGGTGCATCTTGATGATTGTCCTGGAAGTGCAACTATGTTGCAATTGGAACATGCTCAGTTCTTGACTTATCCGCCTGAGCTGAGTACACAAATATTTTTCATTGGTATATCAGCTTGTAGAGGTAATTGTTTGGCAGGTTCCTGCTTTGCTTCTACTTCGTTATCAGATGGCACAGGACAGTGTTACATAAAATCCTCGGATTTTATCAGTGGGTATCAAAATCCTGCACTGCCTAGCACTTCGTATGTCAAGGTTTGCGGACCAGTGGCTCCAAACCCTCCGGCTTCCTCTGTTGGAGCTGAGAAGAAGCATCGTGGGAGGGTACCAGCTTGGATTGTGGTGTTAGTGGTTTTGGGTACCCTTTTAGCTTTGATTGCCTTTGAAGGTGGTTTGTGGTTCTGGTGCTGTAGGAACAGAACAATATTAGGTGGATTATCTACACAATATGCTCTTCTTGAGTATGCTTCGGGTGCGCCGGTCCAGTTCTCATACAAGGAGCTCCAGCGGGCAACGAAAGGGTTTAAAGAGAAGCTTGGGGCTGGGGGCTTTGGTGCTGTGTATAGAGGAGTCCTTGCTAATAAAACTGTTGTTGCAGTGAAGCAACTTGAGGGCATTGAGCAAGGTGAGAAACAGTTTAGAATGGAAGTAGCTACTATAAGCAGCACTCATCATCTCAACTTAGTGAGGCTGATTGGTTTCTGCTCAGAAGGGCGCCACAGGCTTTTAGTCTATGAGTTCATGAAAAATAGTTCTCTTGATAATCTTCTGTTTGTGACTGAAGAACAGTCGGAAAAACTGTTGAATTGGGAGTATCGGTTCAACATTGCCCTAGGCACTGCAAGGGGCATCACATATCTTCATGAGGAATGTCGAGACTGCATTGTCCACTGTGATATAAAACCTGAAAACATTCTCTTGAATGAAAATTACATTGCCAAAGTCTCAGATTTCGGCCTTGCAAAGCTCGTGAACCCAAAGGACCACAGGCACCGAACTCTGACGAGTGTGAGAGGAACACGAGGATATTTAGCTCCTGAATGGCTTGCCAATCTTCCCATAACTTCCAAGTCTGATGTTTACAGCTATGGTATGGTTTTGTTGGAGATTGTGAGTGGAAGGAGGAACTTTGATGTGCTGGATGACAGAAACAGGAAAAAGTTCTCCAACTGGGCTTATGAAGAGTTTGAGAAAGGCAATATCATGGGAATACTTGACAAAAGACTGAATGACCAAGAAGTTGACATGGAGCAAGTACAAAGAGCAATTCAGGTAAGCTTCTGGTGCATCCAGGAGCATCCATCTCAGAGGCCAACGATGGGTCGAGTCGTGCAAATGCTTGAAGGGATAACCGGGATCGAAAAGCCCCCGGCACCAAAACCCTCTGTCGAAGGATCCGTCAGTGGAACAAGCACGCACTTGAGCAGCAATGCTAGTGCCTTCTCCACCGTTGCAGCCTCAGCCCCAGGTACTGCTTCATCTTCCTCACATCTGAACAGTGGTGTTTCAAGTTTGACTTCAGGAAGGAACACTGAGAAGGCAACTTCCTCTCTTCTACAATCAGACCAGTTATAGACAAAAATCTATCCACTTGATTATTTGATGCTGGAATGGCAAAAGTAAGCTTCTTCAGCTGGTAAATTGTCATCAAGTCATAGATAATAGATAGATAGATACTTAGTTACATGGTGTAATAATTATAATGAATATGAGATAGGAATGTGCAGATTACGCTATAAATATCTTTGTTGAGCTTCAGAACTTTTCCTTAATGTGATCAATGAGAAATTTTGATGCTGGACAACTGCAAATGGTTGCAGTTTTTTCAATAATTGATGTATATCATCTTTTGCTGCAGAAATTGGGGTGCTTCACTGCTTATTGTGATTTTCTGTGATTAGTATGTGAAGAATATATTTCTACAGTTCATCATTGACGACCATCGATGTGAACCAGCTTTTCATCTTGCGATATAACTTGGGAATTTGGACCCTATCAATCTATAAAAATTTCTCAGAACTGTTACCATCTAGACAACAGCGATTTATCCTTTGCCTCTCAGTATGAAGAAAATGTAGTTTAGAGAAGTACTTTATTTTCTTTTAACTTTGAGAGAAACTAGTTTTAACTATGAACAAAAGATATTCCTAATATCAATTGAAAAAAAAAAAACATTAGATTTTTTCTCATCATTATAGAAAGCACAGCAGAAGATTACAATTAATGAAACTAAATATGAAATTCAGTATCAAAATTCAAAGTACTCATTTACTTTTAGTGCATATTAATAACTGAATCAACTTGAAAAACAAAAAATTTCATCAGTCTTCATTTCACATTTTCTCTTATTGAGATGCATCATTGACTGGGATCCTCATCCGGTGCTAACAAGTGGATGAGCTAATCCCAGCCCTTCATTTTAATATAAAATAATCCCTGTCTTTCATTTTAAATTGATTTTTAGATTTTTTTTAATATTGTATTTATTAAAATAAAAATTAATAAAAAGTACAAAAAAATCAATATTACATACGGTTTGTTCATAGTGCATTTCAGCTGTCCAAAGTAAAATTTGAGAAATTTTTGATATTAAATTTAACCTTCTAAATTAAATCTATCTTATTCAGAGTATATTTGAATGATCAATTTATAAAAATTAAAAAAATTAATATTAAATTAGATTATTCAAGGTAATTTGTGTTGTCTTGATTGATGATTGACAAATTTATTAAAAAATTAATAATTTTTATTAATTCTTATTTTTTTCACATATAAATTCTTATTTTGATAAATAAAAAAATTACTTTGGATAGTCTAGATCTTATAGGTTAATGAGAATTATGGTGTTTTATTCCCTTGATGAGCATCCAGATATACTTTGAACAATTTATATTTAATATTAACATTTTTTATAATTTTTATTTTGTTATAGACAATATTAAAAATATAAAAAATTAATTTAAAAGGAAAGGTAGGAATTATTTCATGTTCAAATGAAGGGTTGGGATTAGCTCTCGGTGAATGAGGATCCATCCTCATTGACTGACATTTTGTTTGCATGCATGTGCTTTATTGGAGGGAGATGGAGTAAGAAAGAGTCTAAAATCTGATTGCCTCAAAATTTCTGGAAATTTGGGAAACCAAACAAGACGACATTGTCACGTTTGATGCAAAGCACATGTCAAATAAGTCGTCTATCAAATAACATGAAAAATGAGGAACGAGGGACTGTGTCAGAGTTTGAAGTTAATCAACAAAAGAATATGAGGGAAAGTGGCCCTTAAAGGCCTTCTAAAAATATTAATTACAGTTAAAAACTCTAAAAAAACGAAAATTTAAAAAAATCATTCTTATTTGAGATTAACTTTCTCTAATTAAATATTTTCAGTACTTATCTTTCATATTTTTAGTAGTCCTTTTTAATATCTAGTGCTTACTTTTTTATTTTTTTAGTAGTCACCTTAGATATTTTCAGTTCTCATATTCAATTGTTCTAGTACTTTCAACAGTGAAAACATGAAAGATTGATATTAAAAAATATCTAATATGAAGACTAAAAAAATCACAAAAATGAATCTTTTAAAGATTGATATTGAAAATATGAAGGATGAGTACTTGAAATATGAAAAAAAAAAGCTAAAAAAAATTTTAATTTCACAGAAGAACTAGTTTTTTTTTTTTTAAAAAAAAGGGAGGGCTAAGGTATAAAATTGCCCTCAATGTTTTCATCAAGGTGCACCTCATATCCTAAAGTATTTTTTTAGCATAATTTTGCCCCATTGTTTTTTATTTAAGTACAATGATACCTTGATCTAACTATTTGACCACTTTGATTGTTGAATTAAAAAATTCCTGTAACCTTCCTAAGGTTAAATCATACTTAACTCTAAATTATAGTAATCTAGGGTTTAACTCACAAGAATTACCAAGCGGTAGGGTTTATAAAAGAATTTTTTAAAATCTATTTCAAAGGAAACCCAATTTGCCATTTCAAATCTTAAATATAATTAAAGGACTCCAAATCAAAGTTTTAAAAACAAAGCGAAAGCTTGAAAACCAATTAAGACCTAAAAATGAGTTTTAAAACTCAAAATAGATTTTTTCACACAAAATTTGACACGTGCGCCCCAACTTACGGTTCGTGCGCCACAATGTGTCTCCTATGTGTCATGCGCTACGGTGCATTGTACAAAATTTGACAGATTAGTGCTGTCATTTGACAACACAGGAAGCAAACTTTTGATGCGTTCCAAATCTCCATCCAACGTCCGATTAAGGTGGTTTTGGTGTTTACACGGAGCTTTCTTCTAGCTCTAGCTAATGGCATTGGTTTCACACTCAAATTCATTTTCTATCAAAAGTTGGACACTAAAACCCATTTTGACACATTTTCACAAAACTTCTCAAATGGAATGTCCTAACTTCACCACACGTGCCAATAGCCTACACCAACCCTTCGACCACACTTAATGGACCCTTGTGGACGCGTGCAACACACCATACACAATCAAAAACACTTGTTTCACAAAATCACTACTCAACCCTAATTTTCACAAACAAAGAGGGGGAGGAAAAGTTGCACAAAATCAATCATTTTATTCATATTTCTCAAAAATACATATGTTCCTACTTGCACAAGTATTTTAGCCCTATCCACGAGTTCACAACAAAAACTCATTGACTCAGGGCACAAAATACACTAATTAAACACAAAATCATGCAAGTAGTACATCTATCATGACAATTAATTCCTAGTTGGCAAATACATTAACAATTACACATGTAAACTATTAAAGAGAGACATTAAGAGGATTTACCCTGAGTCTCTGTGTGTTTTCCTCAACTTGGATCCAATGAGCTAGTCCCTAAAAATATTGAGAAATTGAGGGGTGAGTACAACTACTCAATAACTAAGTTTCACTTAACTCTTACAGTTACGTATTAATTATAAATAGATGTAAAAAGACACATAACACATATATCACATAGTATTAGGTCACGGTTCATAAACATAACAACCATGTGACTGGGCTTGCCACAAAATACTATATCGTGTTGTTTTTGAAAACATAACTCAGGGTCGTAAAAATAACAACCATGCGCCCTTAACATGTGCCGAACCACAATACTAACAACCATATGGCCAAATTTTTATGTATAATCGTGTGCCAAACTTATATCCTCCTGTTACCTCCGGCACGAAATTGGTGGCTATTATGTGATTACGTCCTTTACAAACTAACCTAGCCTTCCACTTACGAGAAGCTATCAGGCCAGGGTTAACTCACTCACTTATATAATCTGGTTTCCCCCAATACTAACAACTATAGGGTGTCGTATCCCTAATCTAGCCTTCTCATGAATCGGTGGAGACTAGTTAGGTTTGAGTCTCTCGTAAAATAAGTGAGACAGTCCTGAATCAACCATGGGATAAGGGCTACCTCTCAATTTCAACGGTCGGTGCCAAGGCTAGTTCTCAATTCCATGGTCACTGCCAATATCACATGGATTTCCAATCAAACTACTCCTCTCTCTAGGCGAACTCCCGTCATTGATCATGCCATGCACATTTCATATATTTTATGCATTTCAACATTCATTACTCAACACATAAACTCACATAACATGTATACTCCACATTTTAATACATAATTCATCACAATTCTTCACCCATAATAATAAATCATAATTAATTTCATAAAATCAAGGGTGGTAAAGTCAAGGTTTTTCTTTCTCAAAACGATTTCATACTCAAGCATTTACCAATATGCATATCAAATTAACTCATAAATCACATTTTACAACACAATTAACATTTAACTATAAAAATTAAGTTTTCCCCGGTTATCTCAAACCCTTAAGAGGTTAAAGGTTTACCTCTCGCTATAGCAACTTCCCCAAGCTTCAACAAGCTCAAAAGGTGCCAAGACGAACCTCTCTACAACCAAATCATAAGGATATCATTATCATCTAACTCTTCAAGCTTTATCAATATAAAACTCCTTATACACTATTTTACCAACTTATAATCATTACCCATTCATACCCAATGGGCTCATTAGATTCTATTAATGCACATTATCATTAATAACACCTCAAACCATCATTAATGCACATTAACCTCTCCTAACTACCTCATAAATACCAATTTCGGAAATTAAATGCTCCTATAGACCAACCACTTCTAAAATCATCAATGTAGTGTTCCAACACATTAAATCACTTCCATTAACCTCATTTTAACTAATGGAATTGGACCTATACCCTTATGGACTAAAAATCCATCTCTCAACTCAAACCTTACTATAAATAATTATAAATGAGAGAGGGAAGGGAAGAAGGAAGCACTATAATCTTATCTTAGGTGTTTGGGAGCTTCAATCTATCCATAATGGAGCTAAATATCGTGCCTTAGCAGAGCCAAAACCAAGCTCTTCGTTTTCCTCTTCATTATCTCTTCTGTTTTCATGCAGCTCACGAATCAGATTTATCAGATTTTTGATCGTGCACCACAGGGCGCGCTGCCCTCCGCCACGGTGCATGACGCAGAGGAGTTCGTTACGTTTAAATTGTGTCCTTGCATCGCGGTGGACCAACCACGCACCATGGCGTGTGGCACAGATCACAACTCTTTACTTTTTCATCATCTTTCCTTGCCTAAGTGGGTCACCATCACTCCGGACCCACTTCTAGGGCTGAAATCACATTAATTATGCCAAATTAAGCTCCTTTGGCTATACGCCTCATTAACTTACTAACTACCCTAATTAAGTTAATAAATCTGGGTTAAAATTTTTCGGATGTTACAATTTCACTATTAATTGCCTTGTTGGCTTCCTACATTACCATCCACTTATGATCCCTTTATGTCCTTTACCCTCGCACGTCTCTCCAAAAACTAGATCTCGTTCCTCCTCCTCCAAA